GCACACTAACTCCGTCAGAACTCACACATTGGCGGTTCCAGTTAATTTTTACTGAGGTGGCCAGGCAGGGAACAATGTACTGCAGAGTGGAAGCCCAAAACTACACTCTAAAATGAGTTCAGTGTCAATATATACTGATCAAAATAAACAAACAGGAATTCGTATTTTATTTTCTCTAATAAATCACTCAAGACAGACTCAATTTTCATGCAGCTTTTGCTAATAAAACTACAGATATATTTATATGTTGCTGTTGTTTAAATTAATTTATGGTTCCTACATAATATGTACATTATTAAATGGGCTGAGCAGTTTTATCTTTAATTATATAAAAGAGTCCTAGATATGAGTACAGATCCCCCACAAAGCATACAACCTATTTAAAAGACCAATAAATCTGAATTATTCCTTTTTTGCAATAGTGTATATTTTTGTCAATAAATAATCGTTTTATTTTTGTTGTCGGTTTTTGGTAAATATGTCAACTTTAAAATGTCAAAGTAGAACATTCTGTATTTAAGATGGTGTCACTGCTGCCACCCTCTGGCTTAGAGGAGAACTGCTTGTTCCAGAGGTGAAAACAACAACTCACCTGGTGAGTGTGGCCACTCTTACCAGGTTATTGATTGGTTAAAATGCATGTGTGTGTATATCACACACACTCCTTTGTGGGATTCCTGGCTAAATTTAATTATATCTAATTATATGATCTCAATGAGGCTCTGTGAGCAGCACTCTGCCAGGGCTGTCTGGGGATAGAAGCAGAGACGTAAAAAGAAGCAGAGATATAAAAGGTAACTCTTAACTAACACCACAGGTGGCCCCATCCAGGAAAGACACAGCCAGGCAGATGAGCTTCGAGTCAATTCCTATGTCAGGAAACAAAACAGAGTACACACAGTTAGTCACAGTAAGAGAAACAGGAATACACTGAACAACAGATCAAGGTCCAACATCTATAAACAAAGGTGTTGATGGCAGAAACACAGCTGATATTTCTCTCCAGGACGGTGTCACAGCCAAACAGGAACAGACCAGATGAAGCTACTGTAATGAGAAAAAGCAGAGAGAGCATAAAGGTATGTGTGGAACTAATATGTACTGCAAAATGGGAGAATGGATATAAAATTTGGCAGAATGATGAGAAGTGGTCCTCATGTCCACCAGCAGTCTAAGCCTATAGCAGCATAACTATAGATATAGCTTAGGATAACCTTAGTCACTCTAACTATAAGCTTAATCAAAAAGGAAAGTTTTACGCATAGCCTTCAAAACAGACAGGGTGTCTGCCTCATGGACTATAACTAGTAGTTGGCTCTACAGGAGAGGAGCCTGATAACTAAAAGATATGTGTCCCATTGTACTTTTACAAATTATAGGAACTACTAGTAAACCTGCAAACTGAAGGCAAAGTGCTCTGTTAGGAATAATCAGATCCCTCATATAAGACGGAGCTTGGCCATTTAAGACTTTATATGTGAGAAGGAGGATTTTAAATTCTATTCTGGATTTGATTTGAAGCCAATGAAGAGAAGCTAGAATAGGAGAAATATGATTTATATTTTTAGAGAGTTTGAGGATATTTATAATTTTTATCTCCAGAGATGCATGAAGGAAGTTCTTGAAACCTCTTTGATATGGGATTTAAATGACAAATCCTGATAAAAAAAAAAATACACCAAGATGTTTTGCTTTATTATCTGAAATCAATTTAATCCCATCAAAATGAAGTGACTAACTAATCAGCTTTCTTTTCAAAGACTCAATTCAAAAGACAATAACTTCTGTTTTGTCTGCATTGAGGAGCAGATAGTTAAGAGTCATCCAGGTATTTATTTCTTCAAAGCATGCCTGTAATCTATGTAATGGGTTAGTTTCATCTGGATTAATAGACAAATATAGCTAAATGTCATCAGCATAACATTATAAATAAATCCCACACTGCCTAATAATTCTACCAATCGGGAGCATATATATACAGTAAAGAGAATTGGTCCTAGCACTGATCCCTGTGGTACTCCACAGGTATGAGGAAGATTTATCATTAATGTGAACAAACTGAAATCAGTCAGACAGATAATTTAAACCGCTCTAGTGCTGTTCCTTTAATTGCTTAAACATATTCAAGTCTTTCTAAAAAAATATTATGAACAACTGTATCAAATGCTGAGATCTAAGATGACAAGTACAGATACAAGTCCATTATCTGAGACCATGAGAATATCATTAGTGACTTTCAGCAGAGCTGTTTCAGTGCTATGATGAGCTCTAAAACCTGATTCTTTAAAAGTTCATTACGGTGTAAATGGCCACACAAATATTTGGCAACTATTTTCTCAAGAATTTTAGATAAGGTAGGGAACATTCGATACACGGCTACAATTGACCAAGTCATCTGGGTCAAGAGATAGTTTCTTAAGTAAAGGTTTAATTACAGCTACCTTAAAAGCCTGAGTTTGTTATTCCTGTAACACAGATAGATTAATCACATCTAAAATGGAGATGGAAATACCTCCTTAAATAACCTGGTTAGAATTGGATCTACCATACAAGTTAAAGGCTTAGATGAAGACAAAGGTTTTGCTATCTCTGAAACTGGATGAACACAGTCTAAACTTGATTAAATTCTATACAGATGCTACCTCACCTTCTGGAGATAAACCAATTAATTTCCTCCCGATCCGCAAATGTGTTTTTGTATGTTTGTGGAATATGAATAGGTGCTTCACAAAAGTATACACACTATACGCAAAGACATTTCATTTCTTTATTAATTTTGTAAATGTTGAGCTGGTGTACAGAGTAAATTGTCAATAGATGCCCTCAGACTTTGATTGGAATAAAAGATTTTCACATGTATATTTCAAATCCATGTTTGACTCTTCATGACAATAAAATAATAAAAAAACAAGTTAAAACACCCATAAGACCCCCATTTATCCACAGATTGCAGGCAATACCCAGAACTCAACAGTCTCTTGGTAGCTACAGCTGTATGACGCTAAAAGTACATCCATAACATAATATAAATCCCATTTGACAATTAAGGGTGCATAGCATTCTAAGTAAATATATATATTTCCATATTATATATATATATATATATATATATAGCCTTTTTATGTTAAAAACATTTTATGTGCATGTGCGCAGTTGCATTCCTTAGTATCGAGTAATATGCTATTGCGTTATTAATGTCTTCAATCCGTTCTAAAGGAATATACATGTCTTCTCTAGTTTTTGCAGGAGTTAATATTTTTGCATGAACTTTGTGCATGGCATCGTTTTTGGCAGTCCTTTGGTGCAGGCCTTCTAGGATTCACCTCGCTGTTAAAACCACAGCACATCCTGCCGGCACCTGCTTGGACACCTCTCTGACCACATTCAATCTGTCACCATGTGGAAGCCTTCAGATTTGGCTCAGTCTCATATTTGGTAAGAGGGAAACCAACAAAAAAGCGATCAGGGGAAGGCTGCGTTGAGGAAAAATGGTCATCATCTCCAAAGCCACCAAATTTCTCAAGTAATTTTATCTTGTTTGAGATTGCGCCTGTGTTTTTACCGTTATTCAGATCCCTGTAGCACTAACCCTGACATCAGCAGATGATTCCTAAAATGAATCAGCTTGTTTAAACCATTCAAGCATTAAAACATAAAGGATGAAATACTTTTTAATTAAAAATATGTAATAAATAATTATTCTTTAATAGGAGAATAGGTTGAAAGTGAGCCCTGAAAAACCTGACATGAAATTATAGATTAGCTAAATCTCTCAGATTCATGAGGATTAATTAGTAGGATCAGATATTTAATTTTGCTCTATTTTAGTTTATTACTACTCGTTTGACTATTCATACATGTGATAATTTAAATAAGAGTTAATGTAATCATTTGAATGTGCTATTCATTTATAAAATGCTAGAGAGCATTATACATGTAAAAATAATTAGATAAAATGTTGTTAAAAGCACATTAAACATTTTTTCCTTTTTAAAGGTCATCCTCTCACACCTTTTTTTAATTGTCCAATCACATGTTAAGATCTTCTTGACAGGCCAAACTTATAACTGAAATGTTTGATGTAAAAACAAAGATAAAGCAAATTTGAATATATATAGGAAATGTAACTTTAAACACATTATTTAAAGTTCCAATACATTTTTTATAACATACAATCATGGATGTATATAATTAACTATAGATACATATACATTTGTAATGTTTTGACTATTAACTGTATCCGCCATAGTTATTAAATTATCACATGTATAAAAAATTTACTTTTACACAAAAGAAGCGTATTTAATGGTCTACAGCATTTTAGCCCTCGATACAGAAAAATGTAGTAAGAAATTAACAAGAGACAAAAAAAAAAAAAATCTGAACCAATAATAATTTCTCAATTCCATTAAAAAAGACAATATACTCACCTATACAATATCAATGCACCTATTATATTTTTTTAATATTCAGGATTCATTTAATTGATTTATTTATCAACCCATTTAAAATCTTATTCAATGTAACTAGAAAAAAAAACAGTTGCATCACATGGTGCAAATTGTATGCTGTGATATAAAGGATTTTATTTTATCTATGGAAAAATCGTACTTTTTATATCACAAAATATAAATATCTAACAAAAAAATAACTGTAAATACTAATCAAGGCTTTCCTTTTTAAAACCGTCCTTCATGTATGCTTGTGATGAAGATAAGATGAAGTTAAATGTATGATGAGCAGATACTGAGTTATAAACATCAGAGTGAACACCCTAATTTCTACTGGAGCACAGATCCAACACATAACAGGACTCACAGTAATACCACCACTTTACATTCATTGTTTCTGGCTGTGTAGCCTACTAAACAATTACGGATGGATGCTTATTGCGACATTTCTGTGGTTTACGTGTTTGTCTGATAAAGAGCTCAGTGGTGAACATGACGTTTGAACCAAATGTATAGAAAGTTTGTGTCATGTGAGATGGCACACACATATTGAGGTAAATCAACCTTTAAAAGTGTAGACGTATATAGTCTTGGACTTTTTGCAGTATGAGCCCCTAACTTTAACATGTCCCTTTAACCGGGACAGAGGAGCTACCCAGAAATCCATGCAAACACAAACTTGTACAACGGGACGTCTGTCGAAGTGCATATGAACGTCTTTAAGGTTTCAAAACTGCTTGAACATAACATTGACATTCTTCGATAAATTACAAAACCAAGTATTGGGCACTTTTAAGAGGAGATTCAAACAGTGGTGGTTTTTGACAAGGCTCACCACCCAGGGAACCAATCATCAGGGGTTGTATCACCACACAAAACAAAAAAAAACAGATATCTAACCTGCATGTCTAATCACTGGAAGAGTGTGCCTTTATATGTTGTCACAATGTAAAAACTGTGAAGGAAGCTAAGGATGCTAAAGTAGGTATCTGAGTTGTTGATCGCTATTTGAGCACTAATTCACTCTTTTTTAAGAACATGAACTCATACTATCTATTTGGATTCAAAATATGAAGAACATTTCGACTGTTAAACCTGGATTGTTGTGCAATGAACAGACATTTCTTTTAAAGCAGAGTTTCACGTTCATGATTTTTTTAAATTATCCTGTACTATATATAAAAACAACATTTAAATGCTTAATATTGTTCTACACATATCACACATTTTGTGATTTGTGCAACATTTTGTCTATTTTGTGACATTAATGCAAAAACCACCACTGGATTTATGATACTAGATGTCATATCATGATTTTGTGATACATCATGTGAAGCAAAATAATGACTGATCCTAAATTACTGACATCATTTCAGAATACTGATAGCAGGACTTTAAAGCTGCGATACACACACTGAAATCCCAAGCTCAGGAAGACCGTAACCTGTGATCCTAAAATTGTCATCCTTTTTCCACACACACTCACTCATAAACATTTGTCTTTTTCTTAGCAGTTATTGCTTCTTCTGAATATGACATAAATCTAAGACAGCAAGTCAATACAAAAAAAAGGATGTTTGTAAAAAGTGGAGACAAGCCTAGAGACTAGGGGGAGCCAGGCTCACAGTTATGGGTCAGTATTACAGTTTCTCATCACAGTGATTGGTGACTGACTGCCTTGACTGCGTTCCAAGTAGCCAACAAAAGGACAACTCAACATGACCTCGCCCCATAACACAACGCTCCCCTGCCTGCCCAGTCAGACCAGTGCTACATTACCAGTGTTTCAGCTACCTCACCGAGTGACATCTTCTGGTGGTGGACAGATGATCTGTAAGTGCACCTTGTGCGTGTGGTGTAGTAGAATACTGCAAGCTAAAGGTGGGATCCTACCCCGCCTTACGATGAAGGGGAACAGGACTGCTACATGTGCTCTAAGAAGTTAATTGCAAAGGTGAAACATCTTATTAAAACAACAATATGAACCAAACAATACCTACTGAAGAGAAATGGAAAAGTCCTATCTTTCACCAGAAGTGTTGCCTTCTGCAAAGAGACGCTTTTAAAACTGCCTCTTACAGATTAAAAAGACCCACAATACAGTGATAGATGAAAGTCCTCCCCTCTGCAGTTAGACCTTTTCAAACAATGGGAGCAAGTGAGAGATGGAGAAAGATGAGCACAAACCCAAGTCAAAACAGGAGGAGCGAAATGACATTTGCATGTTTGTGTACCCACAATGACCTCAGGATATATAGACTAATATTATATAGGCTCTGACAGAACAGACCTAACAAGAAAAACAGGGAGGAATCTCTTATGTACATGAAAGCAGCATCAGTGGCATCGCATAGAGATCTCAAAGAACATAAACAACACATGTAACACATGGTTACGTTTTCATTTGAGTGCATACAATATTATGTACAACACTGATATTCTTGGGTGGTAAGAGGAGCTTTGGTGGGCTCAGACAACTCTGGGAGAAGATTCAAACTGGTCTGTGTGGTGTGGAATAGATTAATATTAGTTTGTAGTCTTTTTGTTTTCCCCTCTGGCTGATAAAGTTAATTTTTATGTTAATTTATAAAACGGGCCAGTGATTGAAAGGACATTGCATGCCTGCCCCATCCCACCCCTTTACCCACCCCTGTTTTCCCCTCTGTATTTGTAGATAAAGACAGGCCATGCTGCAGCAATCACTCATGCTGATACAGATAACAGGAAGCACATGTTTGTTGCATTTCTTTCTTTTTTTTTTTTTTTGCTTGTGTTTGATTTTGTTTTATATGAAATCATGCTTCTAGCCTAGTAGGATTTGTTCTTTTTTTTCTTATCCCCAGAGTTTCTTAAAAATAAAGAGGTAATAAAAACTACAAGAAGATCTTTATCCTTTTCTTCTGGAGCGTGCTGAAAGTCGGCATTGCCGCTGTTGTCGTGTAGGAGAGGGTTTCATTTGACGGGCTGTCCCTGTGTGGTCTTCTGCCTGACAGCTGCTGCTGGTCATGTGTCCATGTAGGATGGTTTGGGTGAAAGGGTTGAATCCTGTGGAGAACTCTGCGGACAAAAGGAAAATTACTGATACAGCATCGGCCTATGTGTGTTTTAAGACAATACGTGTGCATCTCAGTAAATTAGAGTATCAGCGAAAAGTGAATTTATCTCAGTAGTTTCGTTAAAAATTATTTAGCTGTTTTAATTTAGATGGTTATGGCTCAGAGCTATTGGTCAACTTATCAATTTTTAAGTAAATTTGAATTTTAAGTTTTCCAATTAAAGCTACAGTGTGTAATTTTCAGCGACATCTAGCGTCCAGACTGCAGACCGCAGCAACATGAACATCTCCCCCCCACCGCTTCTCCCCCCAACAGTACGGCGAGCGTTACGGGACAAAATGTCTTCCACCACGTCCGCCTCACCTACCTTCTCAAGTGATGAGGTTTGTTTACATAGATAATTTTAATGATAGTATTTCATTAGTCTGTGTAGGGTATAGATTTCATGTAGACTTAAGATAATAAATATACCCGTTATTTTTTCTACATCGTTGTGACGTTTGGCTGTGAAGTTTGTTGGCTCTGCGCTGCCGTAGCGCAAAGATGTCTGCCTCCATGGCTGCGAGACCCGCTCCTATGTAATTATAAACAACGATTTCTAAGGCAACGCAAATATTAAGGTTAAGAGGCTGAGCTCGTAGATGATGATAAAATAACATAGTTATGTATAATATATTACATTTCTCACTGTATATCCCTGTAATTATTACACACTGTAGCTTTAAATATTTTTAATACCAAACTAGCATGTTGCTGGCCATAATATAGCCCACAGAATCATGGAGACTGGTTGACAAGCAGACGGTCACCGGCATGCTCTGCAAAGCACATAGACAGCCAAAAACTGGGTAAAAACAAAGCTGGCTGCTGACAGATTGGTGTTAAAATAAGACAAAGTTGAGTGGAAGGAAAGTGTCAGACACACAATAGGGATGGGTGATTGGGAATGAGAGCTGGAAGAGTTCCAGGACATGGGCTACAACGTTTGGACTCTTTATTCCATAGTTTTTAGGAAGTCCAAAGTCAGAGTAGGAGTCTACGAGAAAAACTTTGAGCGTTTTATGTTTCCGTCTGCTGACAAGATTTAGGGAGATGATGTCAACCCAGTTTTATAACAACTGATCATTGTGCTTGATAGGGCCCTAAACCGGTCTAACCTAAACCCTACAGAGAATATATAATAACTGAACTTTGTTAATCTCACACTGGAGAAATTAACTCTGCATTTCACCCACCCCCTTGGGAAGCAGTGGGCTGCCATTGTGCGGCAACCAAGAAGCAGTGCAGGGGTTAAGGTTATTGCTCAGAGACCCAGAGTGGCAGTCTGTGGGAATCGAACCGGCTACATGTAACCTGATTTTAAGTAACAGAGCCATGAGGTTCTGTTAAAAATACGACTCCAGATCCAGGATCTAAAGGCTGCTGTTAAAGCACAAATAGTTATTCTCTATGATCCACATGTAACACTGACCTGATGCAGTAACCGATGCAATTAGATTGTGTCCAAGTATTGAGTGTATAAACTGAACAGTACATAGACATACTTTTCTGAAGGGTCTCATTTTATCGAAAAATCGTTTTATTTTTCTTCTGAAAAATTCCAATTCCCAATTTAACAGAATATACACTTGAAATATATGACTGTGTGTGTGTAAGAAATGTGTATTAAATATGCTTGACATATGGTTCTCATTATTTCATAATAAATTGGTGAAATAAATTTAACTTATGATATTCTAATTCATTGAGATGCATCCTTTTATTAGAGAACACATGCAGAAGGAACATTTCATAGCAAAAACAATGCTATGCAAGAGCTTTAAAACCTTTTAGCACGACTTTGATAAAATGCTCACTTTTAAGCTTCCCTTATATATTAACCACATTCTTTTCCTTAATCATATCCAACAGATAACACATTTAACAGAAACTGCATGGCAAAAGCAGGGGAACATGCTGGAATAAAGCACTTGAAACATTAGTAATCCCAGGATTGTTGTAGCTTTTAATTTAGAAAGAGAATGTCAGACTCACACAACCACACAGGCACACACCCAGACCCACTGTCTAGTGGATCAAATTCTGCAGGCAACTGCCTTGGCAGCTTTGTCCTTGAGAGTTGCCACTTTACAAGATCTGTCTTGGTTTTGCTGACAGCACACTGTGTCACACTTATCCCAGGGCACACAGGCAAAAACCACTGGTCAAGCACAACTTTAAAGATCTCTTTCCATCAAAGCTTTGGAATTATATTCTTGTGCAATATAAAATGGTATAGAATCTGAATGATCATATCAGGAAAAAATGCTTTTAAAGTAACAAAAAAAGTGTTGTCATTCAAGTTTTTTTATTCACAAATATAAGTCCGTGCTATGATGTAAGGACAAAAAAGCCCAGAAGCAGTCATGGATATCAGTAGGTTTTTAAAACTCAAAGAAAACGACTTAAATATTACTATTAAATCATGACTAGTGCTGATGAAATGAATCAAAAATAGACCAAGAGCAAATATGACATTAATATTATTTTACAGTATTTATAGTTTAAGGATAGGATTTATTTATTTTTTTATAATTTGGAGTTATCAGCAGTCAGTAGCTTACTACAGGAAATGCCGCTCTAAAAATATCCATTTTAGACAGAAAAATGTAGTTTTTTTCACCTCAGTGTCAAATGGTCACCTATTTAGAGTAGTAAAAAGCAAACATTTTAATTTTAGCAAGTCATCTTAAAAATTGTTTCGGAACTTTAATTACAAAGAATCATGTACACAAAATCCAAGTCTTTTTATGCAAAATTGCTTCAAGGTGATGAACATATTTCTTTTTTTGTGTGATTTTTCTTTGCCAGTGTGACAGCCGTCCAGACTAAATAAGCATGCTGGCTAGTCTCAGAAATAGCTGAGGGATTGTATTTAGGCATAGTGGTTTAGTGAACTAAGATTTTCCTCTTTAAAAAGTGCAGCTATTTATTGTTGCTATAATTGTATTGCTTAATCAAGTTTTTTGGACTTCTCTTTGGACCAGAAGCTCAATGGTATAAGCACACCCTGGTGTGCTATACTGGGGTTAGATCCCTTCCATCCTGCTACTAGCCTACCTCTAGACATGTAAGACTTTATTTACCATTGGTGTTCTTCATCAGTGTTGCCATTTATAGTGTTGGTACACTACCCTAAAGAACTATATTATTTACTGAATTTAGTCACATTAACCGTTTGTTAACATTACTTGCAAATAAGTAGCAGAAAAGCAGAAATCCGATAGAGAATAAATAGAAGTTGGAAGTAAGTAAAATGCCGTCCTAATGCTATATTTGTTTGTGAAATTGGACTATTATTAATTCAAACTTTGGTTTTAATCATAGAAAGCAGCATACCAAACCCAAAGATAGTTTGCAGTGATGTCACAATGTAGCCATAGTGACACGTGCAAAAAAATATTGGAGAAAGCCACTATTAAGTAACATTAGGGTGATATAAGGTAATATCAGAGTTGAAACTTGAATATGACCAAGCAATAAGTAATTTAGTGTTGAGTCGTGTAACTCCTCCTATGCTATGTCATAAAAAAAAGATTGTTCTTATCTTCGTAGTTATTTTATATTCACCCAATTTATTATCATTATAGGCATAATACACCAATATATAACATCTTTTAAACTTAAATTACTTCAGTTTACACTAGCCTAAAAAGATAGTTTAATAGCTTTGTTAGTTTACAAAACATGTTCTGGTCATAAACTACTTCCAGTGTTGCCCAAAATGACGCTGCGTAGACTGCTACTGCATTGTGAGATGAGGTTAAGATACTGACTGCTTTTTAAAACTCCAATGAATCCCTCTCCATGCACACATATACATTTATATAAACATATATACACACTGCCTGGCCAAAGAAAGTCACCACATGGATTTAACGAAGCCTGTAGGTATGGGCCTATTGGATAATTACTATAATTATGATTATCTTTCAGCTGGCAACAAATTATTTATTCCCAGCTTATACAATGAGTAGCTTCTCATTTCTTAAAAAAAGAAGAAGCATATTAAAAAGTAGAGATTGACAAATACAGTTTTAAAACAGATCATTTTGACATGAGCCTAATCAATCACCAATATGGGGTTATATTTTGGAGGATTTTTGGAGGTGGTATTGTGTTTTTCTTATTCCATTTACATGATAGACATGACTAATTGATAATGGATGTTAAACAAGTATAAATTTGAAAAAAGAAGAAAATATATTTACAAATTAAACGAAAAATGTGATTGATAAAATTATAGAGCTAAATTAGGGGACATAATTTTTATTTTAAAACTTTTTTTATCCTGAAATGCATTTTTAAAACAAAGAAATATTTGAAACTTAAAAGTAATATTTTAATAGCTTAATCGGGTCTGCTCCTGTTGACTGTGACTTCATCCTGGAATGAAATATCAGCTGTGCTGCTGCCATCAACATCTGTTTATGGATGTTGGAGCTCGGCCTGTTTTTCAGTGTAGTCTTGTTTCTTACTCTGACTAACTGTATGTTCTCTCTTTCATCCTCTGACAGCTTGCTTGGAGCTCATCTGCCTGGCGTGTCTGTCCTGCACGGGGCTAGCTATCCTTTCTTTTTATATAACTGCTTCTGTCTCAGTGAGCCACAGTTGGCCTCAGCAGATGGCCTGCTCGGTGTGAAGGATCACTGAAGAGGTAACGAAAAAATGCAAGCTGCATGCTCATCCAGGAGGGGCATGTCTTGCAAGTCAATGACTCAATGCAATCAACTGGTTTTCCTTGACAGGAACATTTAACCAATCAGACTGTACTGTCTCTGTAAATTGCCTCGAGATGACATGTGCTGTTAACTGGTGCTATATGACTAGTCCAATGCATTATTAAAAACTGGAAGGATAGTAAGAATCCATCATCTTTGAAGGAAAGAATGTGGTTAAAACAAAATCTTGTATAATTATGATCAGTCACGGCTTAACAATTGACCAAATTACACAGAGTATATTTAATAGTGAAAGTAAAGCATTTCCACATGCACAGCGCAAAGCAAATTTAAAGAAGGGATCGGGACTAAAAAGCCATGTAATCATAACACACACACTTAGCAGTATATACGTTTAAAATATACATGAGTTTGTGGAATAAATGGCAGATCTGACTAAGAATGTGTCATGTAAACATGCCAAGCAGAATATTACGATATGATTGGGCAGGATTTACAATGAAATTATAATCTGACCAAGAGGGTTGGTTTATGCCAAATGATTATCTGATTAGCATGTATGTAAATGCTTGTCTGGATCAAATTATACTCAATGAGCCAAGCTGAGTGCACGTTTGCACCCCACACCAAGGTGGCATATTTGGGCTTGGAGAAGGTAGAAAATAGTTAGAAAGTTCCAACAGGAATATTTGCATGACACAATTTTAACCCAATCAACTGTTTTATTTTGATTTCTTATGTCCATTGTAATGCTATACTGGTATAAAATCTGATAATTCTTTATGAGTACCTTTTAACTATATAGGATAGTTAATGAGCTTTGGGCGGCTCTGCATAACCCAAAACATATAAAAGTGTCTACGTTATCATATGTCACGCTTAGTACATGTCACAAAATAATTATTATTTTTAAGTTCCTGAGATGGGATGGGGCCTATACATCCTGTCCCAAAAAGGATTTTAGGCACCTGCATTATTCCTAGCTGCAGCAATGGACAGCAAGAGGTCCCAATGATAAATGCATTGATGTTAGGAATCCTCCTGCTTCCTGGTCTTAGCTCCTTCCAAATGCCAGGACTATTCAGATAGCACCCATTACGGTGACTGTGGAAGCACTTGCGCTTTGGCTTAGGTCCTTATCCATTTGAGCTATCTGGATTGAGCCCCTTTTCCAGCATAACTAGTGTATCAGGGTAAGGTGAGAGGCAGGTGAAGCGATGCACACATCTAAATTTGTGTCTACTTTGCAATCTTATATGGACACATGTCCAGCTTCAAAGCAAGATGTTGATGTAAAAATATTAATACTAATAAATATTATTACATTTAAAGAAGTCAACTGAAGCAAAGCCACAGAGAATGTGCCCTGTAATCAAAGCTAAGTTAGCCCTGTCAAAAATTTAGACTGTGTGACCTTTTCTTGGTTAACCAGGCAGTGTTTATATATATAGATATATACAGACAGAGAGAGAGGAAGAAAGAATGAAGGAGCTTTCTTTAGGCACTGTCTACAGTGTGTATTTGTTGAGTAAATATGTCACATTACTGTGCCAGTATCAGGTTATATATCATTAGTGTTTAATCAAAGGTAAATTTGGATGCATTTAATCCAGAGAGACCAGATTAAACGTGTTCAGCCACAGGTCAGACGAGGCACTGTGGGTCTGTCCCATACCTGGAGGGACGCAGCACTCTGTCTGCCTCACTGTTTAACCCTCCGCAGACTGGCACATTTCACTATTTGAGCACCTTTCTTCACATCCACAGAATCGGTCTACGTTGTGGGGAGAGGGAAAGGGCGTTTACACCAGAAGAGGTCAATGGGTTGAGGACAGGTGTTGAGGAAAGAAGGGGAAAAGATGAGAGTGAGAGATTATTAAGAAGAAATAGAAAAAGAAGAGGGAAAACAGGGACCTAATAATTTAGGAACAAAATGTTTACAATAGAAATGAGCTGATAAACAGTAGAGACAACAGGAAGGAGAAACATAATGAGATGGGAACAAAATAAACAGATAATAGGAAAGGAAATATGTAAAAAAGCAAATAATTTATAAACAGTCAAGCCAGGATGGACATCAGGAAAAATCAAAGATGGATAAAATACTGCATCTGTGGTTTAGAGTAAATTAAGAAGGTTGAAACAGACAGATAAAGCCCCAAATGGTTAACAGATTAGTATTTTCTGAAACTTTAAATCATCAAAGGAATTGTATTTTTTAAACACATATATATTTTGGTTGAATTCTTCATTACCTTTCTTTTTTTTTTTGTCTGATATTAACCACAAACGTCAACCTATGTTATTGGGATTTGATTTAATAGCACAAAACAAAGCAGGGAAATAGAGAAATATTTTAAGCTATCTTTGAAAAAAGGAACAATCGTCATGCCTTTTTATTCAGCCAATAGTTTGTAAAGTGAGCATTTACCACATTTTAGCTGCAGGTCTTTTAGTGTTTTTGGTGTGTTTGCTGTTTTGGGACAGCTTTGAACAAACAGAGGTGACTTTGAACAAGACATTCACCATCCTCCCCTCCATTATTAGAATTTAATATTGCATTTTGATCAGGTTTTCAAGTTCTACTTTAATTTTAATCCTATTTACAACGTTAATGCAGTAAATTCTAGATCTAAAGCTACCCAGCTGGTGCAGAAATTCTGTTCAGTTTTACTTTGTATTATCCTGTCTATTTTCAAATTTTGAACAAATCTACACCAAGCAGTATTTCTTTAAGATTAAAATTAAGCTATTTTCCGCCCATATACCATTCTTTTAAATAAAGTTTTTAAGTTTGTATCATTTAAGGCAAATCATTTACCTTTCATACTTTAATGCAATGCAGAACCTATGCTTGCTTATGAGTTCAATCAGTCCATCTATAGCGTTGTTTAGACAGACATTTTTACTCAGTATAGAATGGGAGTGTAAAAATGTTGCCCATTAATTTTTGAAATACAAAAAAGTATACCCAGTCAATCAGCATGTAGAGCTTCAGTGAAGATAATTTTTAAAGGGCTGCCTCAGATGCTCAAAAGGACATATATGTGAACTTTGACTGGACCATTTTAACATGATACACATGCTTTGATTTAAACCATTCCATTGTTCCCCTTGTTCTGCCATGAATATACCTTTTTTTTAAAAATAAGGGCTGCATTTGTTTATAGAAATTACACACCTGTACAAACTACACTATATTTATTAATTAGGTGACTCCTAAAGGCAGTTGGTTGGACTTAAATTTATTTAGGGGTATTAGAGTAAAGAGGCTTGAATACAGATGCAAGCCAAACTTTTCACATTTGTATAAAAAAGGTAAAAGCTATGTTTTAATTAGCTTCTTTTCCCCAATCATGCGCTAGTGTCTATCACTTGCAAAATCCGATAATATATTTGAAGTTTGTGGTTACAATGTGAAAAAGATTTAAAAAGTTACAGGGTTATCAACATTTTTGCAAGTAGACCTAAGCACTCTGTACCACATGCATTTTAAACCCATTCAATGACTAAATAATATGTGGTTCAGAGCTAGCTTAAGGGATCAAGACACAGTGAGAGTTGAAGTACCAAGCTTTAATAAAAGCAGGAACACAGAAGAATCACTCATTTGGAGAGGAGAGAAAGAAGTGCAGCTTTAACAACTGCAAAGGATCATGATGGCCATCGCATTCATTACTTTGTTGTAAACAATCAAAGTGTAGGAATGGCTTATTAATGACAGAAATTAATAAAATCGGATTGAATTATTGGTTATTTGCATTTCATCCAAAGCAATCAGAAAAAAAGATTAATACATTTTTTCCATAGATGCTAAATAAAGAACATGAGAAAACATTCAGATTGAAAGGTTGTAACATAGAGTCAGCAAGAAAGCCTCTTTCCAAACACACATTTATATTTCCTTTAGTAATTTAAAACATAAATTCAGGTTTACTGCTTTCATCCAAGAATAGGCAATCTCGACGCCTTTGCATTGATTTATACAATCAGATCCTCATATGGTGTACTGCTGTATCATCTGATGTAATTTAGCGAAACTTAGCTTTGCCACCTCCCGTCTCTAGTTAAAACCTGGAGAGAGGCATACAGTTGCCTGCAGATCAGAAGCCCACCTTGCTGCTGTCCCGGCCCAGGATGGCGTAGCTCAGGTACTGCTCAGCATCGCCCTCCAACTCGTTGGTATCCAGTAGGGAACCCTCCACCTCCAGAACCCCTTCCTCTCCCAAACCTTTCCCTCTGCGTACCACTTTCCGTACAATCTATCCCGTATTTCAGACGGTGGCGTACAGGAGGTGGGAAGACAGACGAGGGTGAGTGGATAATAAAGTAACAGAAGAAAAAGAAATGTTGATGAAAAAAAATATTTTTTTTTAGATATCCAACATGAAATGGATGAGGAACTTTGACGAACAACAATTGGTTAAATAATCATTATGTAGGGAGATGCTGAATGAACACATAACCGTGAATGAACCTGACTTCCTGCTATGAAATATGTTGAAAATGCTGACCTTCTTTGTGATGATGTTTCCGTGTTCATCTGTGAACTGTTCTTCACTTACTTGGCCCCCAGGAAGGTCTTCAACCTCATCCCCCTGCGAACAAGACAACATTTGCATTCAGCGTTTCTCAAATAATATTAAAACCTTTATTTAACCAGGAAAGTCCGAACTGAGTTAAACAATCTCTTTTTAAAGGGAGACCTGGCAAAACAATAAAAAAATAAAAGTGGCGCATTTTTCTAAACTGCAGGCATGATCAATAAAAATGTGTTTTAAATAGAGTGGCATATTAGATATTATTTCACAGATCAGATCAGTCAAACATTCTCAGTTTGAGGTTCAGTACTTTTATATCATTAAATAAGTTCTACTTATCTTCCTTGAAGAGTGAGCAAGAATCATCCACCTGATCCGTATATATCTATATATTGCATATTCTCACGTTGATGTGATTTGAGGTGGAGTACCTGTGGTATCATTCCTTAGCACCTAGTGTTTTTAAATATAAAATCCTCTGAATTTAAAGCATCTTCTATAGCGACTCTTTGAACTTTTTGTTTATGAAATCTTTTGGAGGGGAAAGGAAAGGAATGAATCATATTGATGCCAAATCAGTAGCTCCCTGAAGAAAGTTGACTGCAACCTCACACAATCAAAATAAGTGAATGGGATATGGATATTTTTAATGGCACTGTATTTATACGCCCCTATGTGGGTCAGTGTTAGTTTATATGCCTATATTCTCTGCACAGATGGGCTTTATTTAGGGAAGAAGCTGGTTGACGGGCTGAGACTTAAAACTGTGACAGCAGCATAGAGAACAAAGACCTGTGAACATTTCTACCTTCTTTTGAATGTAAGAAAAAATATATAATTTTTTTCAATACATCATTATTTTTAATGCAGGGCTTTGTAATTACTTCTCCATCAGTTGGAAACAATTTGCTGAAAAGATCAGCAAGATCAGCATGAATAAAATGTTATACTTAAAATCATAAACTTATGACATGGATGAAAATACTCGTACTGTACATCCTTTGATATGATGCATTCCCACACTCAGCTATTAATAAATATATTCCACTGAAGTTATTATAAAGCTGGACCACTGTGAGCTTGAATAACATAATTTTTTAAGAGTTATAAAGACTTATTAGATTATTAAGCAAAAACTCCAAATACTCAACTTTTAAAGAGCCAAGGCTCAGAAGTGATACATCCGGTAAAATTTATCTTTACAACAGCAGAGAATAATACTGAACTCTGAGATATTTTTCATTGTTTCTGCTCATTTCTCAAGTTCATTGCAGTAACAGAAGTAAATAACATTGAGCAAAATCCTTTTTATCCACTAAATCCTGTCACCACAGGCTGTCATCTTGTACTGACTATGTCAGGTCACCCAGTTATTGACAATATTAGGCCCAGAAAAACACCTTGGGCTTTTATTCCTTTTGTGTCCTGTTCAGTTTAATATAAAACACTGAAAGTAATGGCTGAGTGTCCAAGTTAATCAATCCTAAAAAAAAACTTTTAAACACATTTGACACTGATAGATGTTTGTGTGCTACAGTTACACTTTCTTAAATTTGAAAGTGTTAGTGTTTTTAAATGATTTTGCTGTTAGGAGTATAAGGAAATCATCTAAACTTCTAAAAGACATAATCTGCTGTTTCCTAAAAAAAATGAATAAAGAATGTCTTAAAGTTTTTGTCCGCCTTTCTTTTTCCCCTTTTTGTACCTTAAGGATGACTCTGCGACGGACCACCCTTGTGGTCACGTTCTCCTCCTCGTCAGCGACCCCTTCGACCTCACCGAGCTCATGATCCAGCTGAGCATGTATGTAACTGAGCACAGAACGTACGGAGCCGCTGGCAATGTGGAGGACATTCTGGCAGCTGATCACCAGGAAAGCCAGCAGCACGAAGCTGAAGAGGAGCTCAGTCACCAGAGCCCACATCACACCAGTTAATGACTAATATACCAACACAACTTGCACAAAACAGCCTTAGCCCGTCAGCTGTGTCCTAAACGATCCCCCTAGCTGAGAAAGACGGCAACAGCTGCAGCTCTCTTTCCTTTTGACGTTGTTTCAGCAAAACTGATGTTTCAGATCATTTTTGTCCTCCAACAGCTGGGGCAGTGGGCTCCCCTGACCACATCTCTTTCCTCACCTTCCTTCTTGCAGTTTACTAGAGCCGAGTCAAAGATCCAACCTACAGCTACCCTGAGAAGCTTCTATTCACACCTCTCTGACTTTCAGCCCATGTGATCTGTGGACTTAAAATACCTCCTCCAACTCCTTTACAGCTCCTATGCAGTAGCAATAGACCAGTCATTGTAACTTTCTCTTACTTTCCTCTTGTTTCTTTAGAGTTTAAACAGCCAAAGAGATAAAACAACAACATTTACATATAATACAGGAAGCATTTTAACCAAAATAGTGTTTTTCAATGATGTTCAGCAACAGATGGTGTAAACTGTATATAACATAGGAAACCCAGCTTGATATTTGTTCTCTTACAGTAATATGGCTAAGATTGATTGTACATAGCAAATCTGTCTGTCATTTGTGTAAAGTTTACACATGGGAATGACCGACAGGGGCTGATGTAACATGAACGGGAGAAGGAGAATGCTTTCTAAATTTGGCCTTTGCCACTGTTAGTGGCCATTTTGGGGTCTGCTGTCTATGTGTGTTTGTGTAAGGGTACGTATGTTGTATTTGTAGGGTCCAGAGAGTGTTTTTTTAGTGACATCATCAGTGCAAAAAGTCCAGGATGCTATTAGTTACAATGATTGACCCTTTAAAGCCCGATCCAAGAATAAAATAAAACAGAAAATTACTTTTTTTTTGGTTTGAAGTCCTTATTTGGCCTTTTAACAAAATATGTAAAAAGAAAAAACAGAAATAAATTTTTTATAATAATTTATTACTATGCGATAAGTCAAGATTATTTTTTGTGTAGTCTTCTGCCCTCTGTTATCACATATGTCTGATTGTGTACAATAGTATTTTGAGCAAAGTTTTTACCATTAAATATGCAAAAGGTGTCAGACGCAAAACATTTCAGAAACCGTATGTATCAAATACGATAAATTTGGCATTACAGGGTTAAAAGTGGTATGGATATATAGATTTGGAAAATATTCAGATAAAAGCTACAGACCAAAATGTAATGTAAAAAAATGGAGAAGAAGAAGTGTGATAAAAAGGCAACATATTATTTGGGTTTAAGGAGGCATATTAGAACCAAGAAGGTAGATCTTCCATCCAACCTAACTTATTCTGTTAGCTGCATCTTCTTATTAACCTGAGAATACACATCAAAGGAAATTATTTGAAGAATGAAAAACCCTACTCTTTTTAATTACTAAATCAGAGGGAAAGTAGAAAATGTATGTTTTGCTTTTCATACGAGTAAATCTTGGAGCAGATGAGGAGGTTGTACACACTGCAGGGAGGAGGTAGATGCATAAAAAGTTGGTAGAAGGTCTAGAGGGCATATGGAGGAACAGCCAATTTATCTTAACTGTCTGAATTGAGATAATTAATACGAGTAGACACTAAAGATTTCTAGTTCTGCCAAATGTAGTTACATTTGTCAACATCCAGGGTGCAAATACAAGAGTGGGTGTTGTTACATCAGGGAAGTCCTTACCAAAATACAGGAAATTCTGGATTTAAAGCAGAAATACTTATTTTTTTGTTTGGCAGAGTTTGTTTTCAAATTGTACATTTTGCAGGTGAACTATAACCTTCACCAATGCAACACGTGGCAACTTTTGCTCCCATCGGACAAACATTACCTGGAACAAAGACCCAGCAATGAAAAAAGTAAAAAATTTCAAAACAATTCTGAATGCTGCATTTTTGTTGTGCTAAATCATACTGTTCTTATGCAACAATAGTGTCAACAGCAGCATCATACCCTCCGCCTCCCAGAATGCTTGCAGCAACATTGCTCAACAAAAGATGTCGTATTAGATATGACTTCCTAACAGTATCATTTTATGTAGATGAGGGAATTAAAATACAAAATTCCTTGAATTAATAATTTGCAGATTTTATAAAACAAAAATCAAGATGCTTATTTTCAAGATAGAAGTTAAACTTGCAAAGTTACATGCAATAACTGGACATGCAGTCATTGCTTAATAAACCAAAACTCTTACAAAAAAAATTTTCCCCAGTTTCTGATTAATTGCAACTGAGTTTGTGGGAACTTTAAGAATAACACACTCACCTGGCCCTTCAGATGCACATCGTCCCAGGCTCTAAGTTCTGGTACCCTGTGTGGGAATCCCAGACCCTTCTCAAATGGCTGGGTTCCCCTGAAGTGGCCCCGTAAAATCTCAGAGTGCCCCATGTCCCTCACAGGTTGAAGCAACGCTTCCTGGGACATTAGGGATGGATCTCCATCAACAGCATTACGTACTGATGAAATCATAGTCTCCATGGCCTGCCTGGGCTTAGACTGGGTGCCCACCCAAGCCTGTGTTGGGTCAGTGACAGGCATCCATGCTGATCCAGTCTGTTCCTCCAGATAGGAAAGGAAAGAGCCTCCTCCACTTCCGTTTCCACTATTAGATGACCTGAAAGTAATTCAGTGGATAAAACAGGATTCACCATCTTGTCAAAGATTTGGTAGAAGCATGAGGTAAAAGAAACAAGTATTCCATTATTTTGGAATATCCTAAAACCTAGATACATAAAGAGGCTTTACCAACCTGTCTCCATTCCGATCCGCAACACAGCTCAGACCAGGTGACTCACTCAATCGGGCGTACACTCTTTGCTGTCCTGAAACAAGAGAATGTCCTTCCTCTGAGCCAGTTCCACCTAGTCGTCGTCCTCCTCCTTCAGCTCCATCACCACCAGTCGTACTTGTGACAGCTGATAACTCTGAACTTGCCTCTGACCCCTGACCGTTGTTAAGCCCATTGAGATTGATCCCTGCAATGGTTCCCCCGAGTGAAGCTGGTGTGGTTGTGCTGAGAGAGTCAACTCCCATCTCTGAATCATCCTCTGGCAGCTCAATGGAACCACTCAGCACAACCCCCCCTGGGCTGGCTGCGCTGGCCTGGCTGGCTGGTCGACCCAGACTTCCATATGGCAGTCCCAGCAAACCCTCTGAGTCATCAGCATTGCTGCACTCCAGTGAGGAGTCTTCCACAGCTACCAAGGATGGGCTGTTGCCTGAGGGCCAAACCTGAACGTCGGACATCTCCATCAGGGTGTCCTCTTCTGTGGTGGCAATTGGTGCACAGTCCAGGCTGGACACTTCCTGCCAATAAGGTTCGGCACACAACGGAGAAGTCAGGCTGTACTGCATGGAGGCCGGCGAATGGAGCTCCTCCTGCGCAAGCCCATAACCTGGAGCGAGACAGAGAGAGGCACGCTGACACCCGGCCTCCCCGTCTCGCTCCCTACCTCACCCCCACAGCACTGGGACCCTGGGAGGAGGTAAGTGCCCCAGCCCACGAGCTGGGCATCTAGGGGAGGAGAAGAGGAGGCTGAAGGGACAAATGGGAGAGGAGTGGAACTGAAAAGAGGGGATAGGGCCAAGACAATAGGAGCTGGAATAAAGGTGCAATTAGCTAAAAGAGCAAGGGCAGCTTTTGGAAGAAAGGTTGTCAAGCTTAATCAGCCAGTGTTGACAGTACGAGCATTGGCAGTAACAGAATCAGACACAGCCGGTCGGACTGACTGACTGAGGTTCGACTCCAGCTGTGGCTGGTGCTGCTCTGCTGGCTGCCACCTGCAGGGAGATGAGACGAATTACTTACTTCTATCCAGCAGGGACACAAACTCCCTATCTGTGACATACATATCTTCTCACTCAGTAATATACATGCATTCAAAGTCTCTCAGAAACAGGCAACTTATTTTTGTTGACAGGCTGGAAAGCATGCAATCAGCAGGCAATCCCATTTTCACATTAGACAACTTCAAGATACGTCCACCAGGAATGAATGGTTTGTATTCTAAAATTATAACCACTTTTGATATAAAAAAAAAACTGAAAGTACTTATTATGTTTTGGAAAACAAAACCAAGTATTTCAGACTCAGAGGAAGAGTTTCACATTTGGTAACATTTTTAGTTTCACAGTAAGGGCTTATGAAATGTGAAATACACCAAAGGACTGTGGTATAGGCTATGTGGCTGTTTATTCAGACTGGCACAGACTTGGGGGGCCATGCCCTTGATAATTTAAATTACACATCAGAAACACTCCCAGAAGGTTTGCTATTGCTTATTTGCGTAAAAGGCAGTAAAAGAAAACAGGACTTAACCATGGCTGGCAAACATTGCTGTAAGTCTAACACCATCTGTTTTCCCAGGAATTGGGAGAACAGTTAAAATTTTAGAATTTCTATAAATCGATTTTGTTCAATTTCAGAACTTACACCAGTGTCCTCTGGTTGGCCACTAACGGATCAAGATAAGGCACCAATTTGACTTAATGTCTTAATGTGAAGCAAGTTTACTATCAGTCTAATATTAATTTTTAAAATAACTGACATTTAATGAAGATTGTGCGAGCAAAAATGTTCAATTTAACCCATAGCCCTTTTAGCATAAAACTGTTTGGGAGTCATATGGATCCAGTTAGTATCCTGATTGAATAAAATATGGCTACCACTCTGCCTCTATTTCCTGGACTATAGACTGCACATCACTATAAGCCGTGCTCACTAAATGTTTTTGAAAATAAATGGAAACTTAAGCTGCTGATCTCATCAGAACAGTTTCCCACCAAACCTGTAGGGGGAGCTCTTCATGTCACCCCTAGAGTATCAACAAAGAAGAATTTTAGCTCCCGTTTGCTTGTTGAATCGCGTCTTTTACTGAAAGATGAGGCTTCATCAGCTCTTTATTTAAACTTTGCAGGAGTTGAAGTCTCTTTATTGGTTCAGCAGCTTTTATGCGGCAAATACATGTCAAAATGCGTAAATTCGGGACATTTGTTCTTCATTGTGTATGCTGCTAGCATGTTCTTGAGCTAAATGAAGATTAGCTCTTTATTCTTTTATTTCCAAGTTTGACTTCTCCCTCTGGGGGTTAGGAAAAAGTCCACAGAAAAGTCATACCTAAGCCGAATCATTCAAAGCCTGGGGGAAAAAAGTTGCAGCTTATAGTCTGTATATTACAGTAATATTGATGTACATTCAGCAAATTCATTTAAATACTGAATATTTTCTTAAAGCCCATACTGGGAGTTTTTTTCACACTGTCAAAGCATACTGACAATAAAAAACAAAACAAAAAAAGTATGCTTTCAAGATATTTAAAGATTATTTTAAGGGATAGTACAGGTTAAGAAACATGACCAGCACTCATAACTCATAGCTACAAGCATGCTTAGTGTGGGGGATTGTATTTGAGTCAATGAGTCAATGCAATCAACTGGTTTTCCTTAGATAGAAAACTTTGTATCAATTTGACTGTATGATCTGGTTGAACTGTAAAGTGCCTTGAGATGACATGTGTTTTGAATTTGGCGCTATATAAATAAACTGAATTGAATTGAATTAACTCGATGAAGTAACTTAATTGTAAAAGAGCGGCTGGGAAGCTATGAGCTTGTTTGGAAGCCATTTTACCAAAAAAATTATTAAATAATATAAACCAGTGTTGTTTTAAAATCATTCTTATACCCCAGTACATTGAAGCAACATTTTTCATTCAATTAAACCTAAATGAAACATTCTCCAAATCATCCCACTCAGCACACAGCTGTGTCCCTCTCACACCTCTACCATGTAAACACAGACTCAGGCTTGTTAAACCTGGTGCAACCTAAAGCTAAGTTTAAAATGATCTTCCCAAATCATCAAGACATGTCAATGTGAAGTTGACTCAGGTCACTCCTACAAATTCACTTCATGACTGTTTAATTAAGACTAATAGGCATGTTATTCTTATGAAACACAAAATGCTTACACCCATATTTCACTGAGCAAATTGTGAAATGTTCAAAACTTTCAGAAACGTAACAAGAAAAACAAAATATTTTCAGTTTTTGTTTCTTAAAATGTTTTCTTCTTTATCATAAGAAGCAAAGCCTTCTATTTGTGTAGAAGCTTGTCTGGGTTTAGACCTAAACCGTTTTTTTTTTAACTGTAACCTTTTTGTGAATATAACCTTGGGACCCTTTTTAACCTGTACCTCAACCTGCCGTGTAAACCTGCATGTTCTATTCCTTTACACATGTCAATGTAAAGCCAAGATCCAGGCTGCTCTATGTGGCAAATACTCCAGTTTGCCTACATAGTAATTTAAGGAGAAGCTCTCTCTTCAGTAGTAGTGCATCAGTATCTGCTGTTTGACTCTCACCACCCAGAGGAACAGAGATTTTCTGTTATCAGATCTCTACACTATCAGGCCAAACACATTCCCACAGACACATAGAGAAGAAAATGAAATAGCTCTACACCAATAAAGCTCATCAAACCTGTAGATATTCTAACTGGACTTCTTCAATAGATGAGAATTTCACTTAACAAGTCAAGGAAATGAACAAACACAAAAAAGTCCTCCCATAAGTTCCTGAAAAAACATGGGTAACTGTAAAAAAAAAGTTCTCAAAACACAAAATCCTGTTTCATTTCAAATCTAACTGAACTCGCAACTTTTCAATAACCAAGCTCTCCAGATGTTTCTTTAAATGTTCATTTTGTTGTCCTTATTTCTCACATTACTATGCACTCAATTACTAAGAATATTCATCAAATGAATATAAATATAAAAAAATACTTCTGCAAATAACTCTTCTTTGGAAATTAGCTGAGGATTTAGGTAATATTTTTTTGTAAAGAATATTATGAGTAATGGTAAATTTTTTAATTGGAGGACTTGCAGAAAATGATGAAGAAAATGCTGTTTGTAGAGAAAAGGTAATACTCTCTGGTTTTGTGGACAGTAAAGAGCTCACTGAGTAGAGAACAGAGTGTAACTTGACTCATAGTTGGCTGAGGACTGCTGCTGAGACTGCAGAAGATATCTGAGACACCAAGCGGCAAAATACCCCTTGTCCTACTTTCTCCTCCCAGCTGCAGTCCAATTGAATTCTATATATGTTCATACACTTTTCTCTCAGCTCTTACAGATTTGTCAAATTATACAAAGGCAAAAATCTGTTGTTTGACCTAAAATGTTTTATTAACATCATTGAGAGTATCTGAATGCAACCATTATCTCTGACTCAAACTGTTTCCATTCAAGCTGTAAGTATTTGTTTGAAAATTATTTATTTTGTTTCTAAGTTAAAAATAAAGAGCAAAACCTTTTTTTTATAACAACCTTAGATTTTCTGGAGAAAATGATAAAATATTTTCACCTCCACCATGACTTTCTTACAGAAACAATAACAGTATTGATCAATTCTGAAGGTTTATTCTGAGAGAATCCTTATACTTTATATCTTCTATAAAATAGAGACACCCAATGAAATTTCAACAAAAACATCAAAAATAGATGAGAAAAAAAATGGGAGATATTGTTCAGTGTTTATGTGTACAACTAGGTTTAATTTGTCCATTTATTCAGAGGAATGTTGTCATTATTATTTAAAGAAGGGTTCTCATGCACTTACATGCACAAATAATCAGATAAGTGGAACAAAAAGGTTCTTAATACGATCTGCATACAGAGACTTCATTCTATACCAGGCTTGTCATGCTCCAGGCCTGGGTTCAGGGATGGGTTGTCTCTCTCTCTCTCTTCTCTGCAGGGTGGATTGGCAGGTGCTCCTCATCACTGCTGATTTCAGCCCTTCTTAACGAGCAGAGACCAGGAGGAGGGCATCAGTTCTTTCTCGCTTCCAGCGTGGTACATGACCCAACAAAACTTTCCGAGTTTCATCCGAACCAGACCTGATATTTTGTCTCTGTCTTTTCCTCCTTAGAACCTGAAATCCAAGCCAGAGAAATCACAAGCCAGGGAGCTGGACTCCTCTGATCGCCTGCCTGTCCACCCTCAAAAACCATCTGCACAAGAGAGACTGAGGGAACCGCTGGATTGCACCGGACCACAGACTTCACCCCCCCTGGCTCCGGGCAAGCCTCCCACTCTGTGAGTTTTGAGCTCTCCACATTCTTACTGCCACAGGCTGTTTCTGACCACCTCCTTCGCCCTCCAAGCAGGCCAGAAGATACCTAACCAGTCATCACCTGTCTACCAGCACTTTACAATAAACCAGTTAAAACTAACTGTCTGTCTCCGTGGTTGCTCTGATCCTGAGTCGTTCTTTTCTATCATGACAGGGCTAAGATAACATGTCAAGATCTTAAGCTGTCAGTTGCTCTATCAAAGCTCTTTATCTGAATACAGTGTATAAAACACCTTCTACAAAGAATGTTTAGAATAAT